TACAGCCCCTGTGATGAAGAGCAGGATTGTAGTTTGTGCAGAACAGCTAGTCAGGAGTGGGTAATATTATTTAAACAGGAAAAAGATAAAATCTGCAGCACAGCATAAATGTGCTCCTTGTGGTATTGATCACATACACTTGCCTCTTTATAGGCTGGAAATAAGACTGTCATCCATTCTGGGCAGTTACTGTCGGTGATAAGCCATAAAACTCTCTAAGGAAGCAAGAAGCTGCTTGAAAACCACCCAAGATTATCTATACTAAACTCAGTTTCTTATCATTTCCCTTTGCTGCTCTCTGTTCAACGTCATAAGGTTGAGTTGATGCTGGAACAAAACTCACCTGAGATTTACTGCAATGAGTTTTGCCAAAGTTCATTTTAAACAACTTCTTCCCCAGAGAGTGTCTCCCTTTCCACTCAAGGAGAATGGCAAGGAAGAAAAACACATGGCTTTATTCTTTCTAATTCAGTGAAGAACAGGGGAAAATGATGGTGGTTTTGTCCTTTTTGTTTGTTTTTTTCTTGGTTTTGGTTTTTTTCTTTTTTTTTTTTTTTTTTTTTTTTTTGTTGGAAAAAGAGTGTACAGAGTGAAAACCTGCACTTTCTGGCTAAAGGACTACAGGAAGAGCATCCAGATATCATGTGGTTCACAGTCACCCTTCTGTAGCTGCTCTATGCTTCGAGGAAGAGACCATCAGTAAGACTTGGCTTAGGGTTACAGTCAGCTCCACAAATTCCAGGATGCTGTTCTGGCAGGGTCACCAGTCCCTGCTCCAGGTGTGGATGTCACAGCAAACATCATCCCTGTCCTTCCAGCCAGTGTCTGTGCTGCTGAGGAAACACAGGCTTGCTGTTCATGTGGAAACTTTGCTGACTTCCCTGAGCAGATCCAGGAGAAATACTGACAAAAACTTTCCTGTGCATATCTGTAAGTTAAACCCCAGCAGAGTGCATGTGCATGCTAGAAAGTTTCTGTCAGCATAACTAGAATAAATTCGGGTGATCTTATTACAAACTCAAAACTCTGAAGGAGTCACCAACGCTTTGGTGTAAAACGGCTTTAGCAAATTTTTCCACACAGGCTTTCAAAGGTTGAGGTGTAACCTGAACTGGTACTGCTTAGTTGCTGGATTTTGTGGCTTTTTGTTTTGATCCTGGTAAAGAATAAGTCAGCAATTTGGGGAGCAGCTTGGGGAACAGCTGAGGTGTTGTAAGTCCTGTCCTTGTGCCTAGAGGCCATGCTGAGGGGCAGAGAAAGCTGAACCTGCTTGGATTCAGTATAGTCAGAGTTAAACCAATTTATCTTCAATCGACTGTAAAAATCCTGCTGGTGGATTTAGCCTCCAGATACAGCTTAATATTTTGTGACAGCTGTGTCTAGAAGCAGATATTCAGGGCAAGATTGCTTGATCTCACACTTACCTTGAAGGTAAGTAGCCAAATGGCCACGACACAGATCATTTCTCACTTCCTGACAGAGGATTAAACATTGCTGCACCCAGGAAATTGTGTTCTCAGCCAGACACCCCCATTCCCCTGTCTCATTGTCTCCTCTCTCCTTCCCTTGGGCCAGCTCTGACCAGCATTAATCAGCTGTGTCCCTATGGAGCCCACTGTAAATCGAGTTAAAGGTGATCTCTTTGCCAGCTACGGCAGCAGCAGTGCCAGATCAGCAATATTGCACTTGAACCACCCATTTCCAAGAAGGGATCTGATGAATATGTTTATGAGGGTGACCAAGTTGTTTAGCATTAGCAGGAAAGTGGATTTTATCTAAGGAGTATCCTTTCAAACTTGTCATTTATCAGCATAAAGACTAGTAATAAAGAGAGAAACATGAGGTGACAGTGTGTGCTAGAATGTGACAGCAAGGGCTTGGCTGTCGCCACTTTGTAAATTAGTATCTCTGCAGCATTTTTAACCTGGGGTGGAGGGTCCTGGTATATTAACTGTGAGGGGATAAGCCTTTTATTTCCAAAGGAAAGAAGTAAAAAAAAAAAAAAAGGAAAAGTAATGCATACCTTTTGAAGATGAAGTTACCGAGAAGTCTCATTTAAGACTGTTTAACTTCCTGGGAAATTAATGTTGTTTAAGTGTAATGATGTCTAATTGATGTCTAAGCTTTTCTAAATCACAAGCTCTAAGAAAGTCCTAAAACCATTAAAGACATTTGCTGAGTTTCTGCAGTGGTGCAGCAGTGAACCAGAACCACAGTTAATGAGCTCCTTGGAAAAAACACAGGACTTCAATGCTTAACTGTGTAAGTCTGGAGTATCTAACCCTGCAATTTTTGGTCGTGATACTTTAGGTTCTTTCACACTTAGATACTTAATTTTTTCCCCCACACGAGATAGTTATCATGCACCTACGTCCCCAGTTAACTTCTAGTGTTCAACTTAAAGCACTCCTCTGCTTTTGGGAGCCTTCTCCTAGCTGCTAAAGCTCTGGCAGTGCTGATGTGGGAGCATGGTCACTTGGAAAGTTCACTTAAGCCAAGGTTACCAGGGGATACAAAAATCCCAACTGCAAAGACTTAAGGTGTAAACACTGTTAGATTTACACAGTGCTGATTTCTCAGGGCAATCAGCTCTCCCCAGAGCTAAGGGGAAGAGAATAAGGACCATTAACTGTGCCGGGAAATACGGCAGCAATAAATGGAGACTGCCTGGGCTGTGGGACACACCGAGCACTCTGCTAAGACCTTTGCAGTAGCTCTTCGGCTTCCTGAGAGGATGAGGGTAGGGCAGAGGGCTTCCTAAGTCTTCCCAAAACCTCTTCTCTTGGGCAGAGACTCACTGAGGACTGTGCCACCCTTTGTGCTGGCTGCACCTTCGCGCCTTGGGTGTGGGGCTGCTTCCTAGTGGGAGGATGAGAGTCCCGGCGCTTGTCTGGGAAAGACACCTTGGAGACGGTGGGTTGGGTCTGGGGCCTGCCTCACAGAGAATCCCCCAGCAGAGGATGCCTTTACCTTCCCGAAGCCTTGCTCTCCTGCCAGGGTTCCAGTCTGTGGTGTCAGGTGCGGTGGGATGATGGCCCCATCCGTCTGTTCGAGCCTCTTGGTGCCAGGGGCAGGTGAAAGCGAAACCAGCCGGGAGTGGTGTCAAAGGTGAGAGGCGACCGGAGATCAGCGAACCTTAGACCTGACGCCAGGTCTAAGGTCTGAGAGCCAGGCAAGACGAGAACACGGGGCTGCCGTCACAGGGAGCGGAGCCGGTGGCCATGCCCCCTGCACTCCCTCCCTCCCCACCTCCTTCCCTCCCCACTTCCCACGCTGGGGTCTGGCAGTGGGTGGGTGGATGGACAGACACATGGATGAATGGGTGAGTGTGTTTTTCCCCATACCATAGGGTCCAAGGCCAGCCTAGTTATCAGGGGAATGGGGAGGAAAAGCACCTTGGACTCCACCACAGCCGGAGACGTGGCGTACCAGGGATCTGTCCTTCCCTGGGTTTTTATAATACAGCAATTTCTGCTGACACACATTAGACCTGGCTTTGTTCTCGTGCCAGGTACGGGCTCAGGTAACTTAGGTTTGGGATTGCAAAGTAGAATTGTTTTCAGGAGCATGGCTGATTTACTGTGTGTGAGAAGACACACCCGCTTGTCTTGCAGAATGCTTTGGCTGTTGAGCTTGGGAGGTGCAAAGTGAGCAAAAACTGAGCATTTTACTGCCTGTCAATTAAGATAATAGCTACTTACCCCAGGCAGCTGGGGCTTAGTGTTTTGAAAAAGGCTACTCTTGTTAAATCTTCAATATCTTGAGAGAGAAATCATAGCATGTTAATGCATTGGGATAACGGGTCTGGAGTGAAAATGGCAAGATATGATAATTAAATATCTAAATTAAGATAGTTCTGTATTTCTGTCACTCATCATCATAGGCAGTATCTTTCCTTCAAGTAAGATGTCTGAGAGTAAAACAGACTTCACAAAATCTAGTCCTAATAGTTATAGGGAGCAGGGTGAAAAGCAGAAGTCCTACAAGAAAGCTTAAAAATAATATCAGCCGAGTTTTGAAATGAGAAGCATGTCTTGTGACTTCCAAGGCCTGAGCACTGTGGCTCAATTGCTTCTCATTTCTACGGTAAAAAGCCATGTACAGATGCCTGAGAGTTGCACAGATTTCATACAGGAGCTCATGTGGAATCACCATGAGAGGTTTTGGTCTGCAAGCAAAATTGGAGCATTTCCCTTCATTTGGGAATGTGTGCACGGATTTACACTGTCACAGCAAAACTTGAGGTGGATATACTCAAGCCTGAGAGCAGATTTTACCCTCTTGCCAGAGGGAAGGAAAGTGTTTACCTTCCCAGGTCCTTCCCATCAGCTCTGCTGAGGCTAGAACAGAATCTGGGGATCCTTTGAGGATGATTCCTAAAAACCCTATGAAAACCCAAACTGTCTGAGGCTCATATAATTTTTTCAGCCCCAAAGCAGTTTAATGCCCCCCCTTCCCTTTCCCATAACTTGTTTCCCACATGAGCTGACTTAAAGCCTTATTTTTTTTCCAGGGCTTTGCATCAGTCAGTTCTTTGATGCAAGTCTTTAACCCTGTGCACAGTTTCCCTGGCACAGTACATGGGTAGGAAGGTGTTTCAGGACTTTGGAAGGGCTGGGGGCATGGACCCCTTAGGCTGGGATTGCTGCAGGAAGAATCTTTGCCCACAGCAATGAGTGATGCTAAAAGGCAGTCTGTTCCCTTTTACCACTGGTTTGGACCTAAGCTATGGTAACATCATGCACCTAAATTAAGCATCTAATTTTTTGTAAAAAAAAAAGGCTGGAAGGCTTTGAAGCCTTATGAAAGGACTGCTTTGTTGGTGCTAAGAGAAACTTGATTACCAGTTTGTGCTGCTGCAATAAGCACTCATCTCGTGCTCTGTTATTTTCATAGCAGTCTCCTCTGCCTGAGCACGTGACACATCTCAGATGCCTTTCACAGAATATTCTGAGTTGGAAGGGACCCACAAGTCCAACTCTTAAGTGAATAGCCCACGCAGGGATCAAAACCATGACCTTGGTGTTATTGGCAGCATGATCTAACCAACTGAGCTGATCTCAGGATCTTTGTGAAGGGCTTTTACAAAAGAAGATGGTGGGAACAAAGTGCTATGGCCTGGCTGGTGTAAATGCCTTGGAGTCCTCCCGAGTCCAGGTGAGTGTGTCCCTTGTGTGGGCTGTGTCATCTTCCCCTGGAAAGCTCTTCTCCAGCTCCTGGTGTGTCAGACCCCACTAGAGGGCACAGCTCATCTACCATTTAAGACAAGGAGGATGCTGCTCCCCAGCCTTATTTCAAAACTGGGCAGCCAAACAGACACCAGTGAGTGAGGGTGAGAGGAGATAACGGACTGAGGTCTCCTGCCAGAAGTGCATCTGGACAGACCGCTTCTCTTTGGATGGGCCCTGTTCTCCAAACAACCAGGAGCTGAACCTTTGCAATAAACACTGTTGTGGTGTCAGAAAGCCAGAAGTTTTTTTGTGTAACATCTCTGTCTGCTTGCCTGCTTCTTCAGCATGTGAATATCTTGCTGTCCTGAATGCTCAGAGTCAGACCTCCTTCAGTGTGGTGTACTTTGCAAATAGGGACTGTGTCTGCATCAAAACTGGATGGGTAGAGCACCTGCAGAGTCCTGCACAAAGCCAGGTGTGCACCTTGTTCAGCTGTGCTTTTGCAGCGAAGGGTTCCTCACCTGAAATAAATTTTACCGGTAAAAACTGGACACTGGTTGTTTTTCCGGGGTCTAGGGATTGCATTTCACGTTATGCTTGCCTGATGTAATTACATCACGAGAATTTACAGGACAGGTCTGGCTGCAGGAGTGGTATGCACCAGCCCAGCAATGCACCATTTGAGCACCTGTAACCTCTTTGCAGGCATCCAGGCATCCCTCCACTGCTCCACCTCAGCCTTTTTCTTTGATTTTTAACTGTGAAGGAAAGACTGGCATGTCAGTGGTGCACAGGAATGTCAGAGCAGGTCAAAATAAAACTCCTAGATTAAACATGCAAGAATAATTCCAATAATTTTGTATTTCTGGCTCTGCCTGCTGTATAACTTGGGGCAGGATGCCTCTCCTTCTCCCTTTCTCTGAGTAAAAGGATGCACAAGGACACAGATCTTTATGGAGCAGTTTGGGAGTTCCTAGAGGGTTCTTTTCCAGTGGTTGTATAGCAGTTGGTTCTTCCTGACTGTGCCTGCTGTGAGGAAGTATCCACATGAGCACTGTAAATCATCCCTTGCTTAAGGAAGAGCAGTTGGGTGGAAAAGGCAATAGGGTCTGGTAATGAGGGCAGTACCCCAAGATGAAAACAGAGACTGAAACCTCAGCTTTGCCGCTTGTCTACCTGTGGGAAGATTTATTTTTTTCTTCTCTGACTTGTTTCTCCCACTCTCCTTGGCTCATCTTCACAGTTTATATGTGCTCCCTGGTGTGCCCTGTGCAGGCAGGCCAGCACGGGAGGTCTGGTCTCCATCAAGACTCTCACACTGCTGGAGCAGTGCTTAGACCTTGTATTGCTCAGAAATTAGCCTCAGCTTTAGCATTTTTGGTCCCCTGAGATCTCTGAATACCATGAAATTGTTCCTGATGGATCAGTTTTTATCTGGAACACTCTCATTTCCTATTTAGTCTGCTTCAAGGGTACGCTGTGGTCTTGGCAGCCCTGCTCAGCTGAGCACTGTTTGTGCTGCTTGCTTGGGTACCTCCAGGCTCTTGTTTTCTGCTCACATCGCAGCACTGCTGCACTGTTTCACGCAGGGACAGGTGGCTGTGACCTCACTCCTGAATTTGTTTGCTCTGACCAGAAACAGGCACAGGTACCTGAGTGTGTTTCAGCTGCCTGGATCACACAGTGAACGCTGTTGCCTGCCTTGCCTCTCGCTTTCTGAAGACCATGTCCAAAAGCACAAGCAGCTTTTCAGGTTGGGTTTTTTATTTTCTCTTCCTGTTGCTGGGGGACATGGAGTAGCAAAAAAAAAAATATGTTACTTACCTTGGAAGGGCTTTGTGAAAGTTTTCTGGCTTAAACCACAGAGCTGGGGTTTGCTAGAGCTGCTTTAAAGTTTCACCTGCACAGATTGAAGCCACTGCAGCAGGGTTAAAGCAGTATGAGCTCACTAGATATCACTCTCATAGCTCACTAGGTGGAAATCCTCATTTGTTTTTTCAGAAGCAAATTATCTGTAGTGCGTGTGTGTGTGTGAGCAGGCATTTTGGAAAGTGTGGAGTGTGTACTTGATAGCACCTGAATCCTGCTGTTGTCCTGTGCCATGGTCTGGTGGCTTTAGGGCTCTGGGCTGTGCTGAAAGCCTACAGTGGCCACAGGCCACTGCAGACCTGATGTAAAGCCCCCACTGCTGCAAACTGCTCTCTATATAGGTTCTGATGGGCTGCCTCTGCATTGCCAGGCATTCTGAGAGCATCAGCCGTGGTCTTGATGCTGTTGCAAAGCCAACACTGTGTCTGTTGTGAGCTCTGGCTGGACAGAGCTGAGGTTATGGCCAGATTTAAATGGCCAGTCTTCGCGAGCGAAGATTTGGGAAAGGTCATTAACCCTTCGAGCCTGCGCAGTGGATTTTTTAGGTGAGACACAGCGTGTGCTGAACTGAGCCCACCCTTTAATCCTGAGGTTCATCTGCCAGGGCCGAGCAAGCTTGGACAGTGGCAGTGAGAGTCTCAGGACGTAGGTTTGCTTAGAGTGACCTTCTCTTAGATGGATTGCCTCACAGGGCTGACGAGCTCCATCTGCCCGGGGAGCTGGCAGTGAGAGTCCTGCACCCTAACCACTAGACCACCAGAGGCCCCAATGGCCAGATTTAGACAGCTGGCAACGGGTATGTAGAGACCAGAATCAATGGTCATAGAAATGTGGCTTTTGTTGTGACCTTGCCTAAATGATTTTGGCTCCTGGACCAGCCATAGGACAGACAACTTGCCTCTGCACCATCAGCTTCAACAGGAACCACCACACACAGTCCTTTGTGTGTGAGTATATATAGCAGGCCTTGCTTTTGGGATGGAACTATTTTGGTTTAGTTGGTGTTGCTATAACTGACCTCTCTGATCAGAGTCCGCCTGTGGTCTGATCAGCTCCTGCAGAGCAGCTCTTCTCACTGTGTTCCTTTGAGCAGGGCTCCAAAATGCTGTGTGTTGGTCTGAGGAGCCCCTGGCCAGCTCCAGGACAGGTGGGCACGCTGCCTCTTGCTAAGCAAGCCAGCCTGGCATTTGTCAGCAGCCTCAGAAATAACCTGAGGCTCTTCTGTTTCTAAAAGCCTGTTTGTTTCAAAAAGGAACATCTGAAACCATGGTAAACAAAATAAATTCAAAATAATCGACCCATTCAGAGGCCACAAGTGATGTTCTCAAAACTATTTGCCATACTGTGCTGTAAAATGTGCAATCCCTTGTTTGCGTGATGGTTCTCACAGAAAACATGGGTAAGGAGTTAAATCACAGAGGCCTGGCTTGGAATGGAAATGCTTTTTCTAAGTGTCCTGATCTTTGCTGTTTCTCCTTTTCTGTGTGTGCAGTACTGTCATCAGCTGGTGCAAGATGAACTTCTGAAGACCCAGAGTAGCCCAATAGTGATCAGATAGGCAAGGTTTGTCACCACTGCCATGGAGCATTAAAAGATCATTTTGTCAGTTTTGAGAGAAGGAAGGGTTGTGCCTTTGCTAATGAAAAAAGGATTGGGGTCCTCACTGTTACACTGATGAAGATTCAGGAAATATTTTCAGGATTAGTGCAGTTGTAATGATGAACGAATCATTTACACTGTGGCTTGAAACTGTGAGCCTGCCCTGAACTGCTTCAGGCTTCTAACATGCTAGGCTTCCTATATTAATTATTAACATCACTAAAACACTCCAGAGATTGGCCTGGAAACATTAAACAAGCTTAATATTAATAGCTCCCAGATGATAAGTGGTGGTGAACATTAGCATGTGTTAAAGACTGAGGAGGGAAAATAACTACTGACTACAATAAACATTTGAAGTATAGTGGCATTAAATTACATAAAGAATACAAGTGTGAACCACAAGAAAGGTTTCCCTACAGCATTGCCTGCTACCATTTGAAGAGACAGGTGAGATTGCTTACACCTTTGAAATTACACTTGACAGGTCACAATAAAACAGCCTCGAGGAATAGGGATGTGCTAAGGTTCTTGCCACATGTCTAATAAGTAAAGAGCAGCTTTTGTGAAAGGCAAATGTGACTTCCTCGAATAAAAATGTCTGTATCAAACATTTTGTTATCTCAGACTTCATGTTCTCTTTTACTCAGCGGACCTTGGCCAGAAGGATCCCCCTCCACGAGTCCAGCCCACCTTGCCAGAGGAGCTGTGATGCAGACACCTTTGGCTCTGGGTTGGGCACCTGACTTCAAAGGGAGAGCTGGCTCCCGAGGGGTATGGAAAAGAAGGAAATGGTTCTGTGAAATGAGACACATCGTTATCTAACAAGGTGCAGGTTTTGCAGCATTTTACATGATTAAAGCACTTAAGCACTCTCTTCCACGTGCAGGGTCTGGTGTCTACCAGGAGCTCCATGTGCTGCTTCTTTTGCCAGTGGGGATATCACGTTTGGAATGGACCTTGACCTCTCCAAAAAAGCTTGGTGGCAACTGGCCAGCTGGCTTAAGCTGTTAGTCTGGGACTGGTGCACGCACACAGAGTGATCACACATGTTCCCTTAGGAAACCAGGCTAAAAATGGATGTAGGCAATACCTTTCCAAGGAAAGGGCTATAGAGAAGCTCCCTGACAACCCAAAGTTGCTCCCAGCTCAGTAATCTCCCTCAGAAGCATTTCATCTCTGTGTTTGTGAGACAGTTGCAATAAATGCAACTGAAAATGTTTTGCCTGTGCTTGGAAAGAGGAATATTTAAGCAATGCTGTCTAGCACAGACTTGGAAAGTTCGTGTGGGTGTGAATATAAGTTTAGTTTTCCTGAAGTCCCCACCCAGCTTTAGGATGTGTAGCCTAGACAACTTCACAGGGCATTTTATGATGAATTTTGCCTTTCTGTGCTTTGCAACCAGGCCGGTGGCCACAGCATCATCTTGCTTTTTTCAGCTCACATCTAAATGTTTGGCTGGTTTTCAGTTGGTTTTTAGTCTCAGGCACTGGCTGTTACAGGCATGGTCTGTAAAGGCACAAGAATAGAAATTATTTCATCAGTATGAGCCTGAGTAACCTCGTTTAGGGCCAGATGCTGCTGGAAGAGTTGTAAAGCTTAGGCAGAGGTGAAATGAGTCATCTGTTGCCAATAAACTTGGAAGGAACAAATGCCTTGGGGAGGGAGGGGGGTGGAACCACTATCTGCTGTTACCTAGAGCAACCCCTTTTATAATTGAAAAATATATTAAAAATTATTTTGGGAATTTCTAATTAGTTGAGTTGAACCACTAATGCGCTCCGGATGTTTCGGAAACTTAAACTAGTAACTTCCCCAAAAGAGGCCACACAGAGAAGTGTCTTTCCTGCCTTTCCCCTCTACCACCACAGCTCCAAGGTCAGAGAGGATGAAAACGTCTGTAGAAATTGAAGTTGGGCAACAAAGGCGGTGCCTGTCAATCCCTGGGGAGATGCCTCCTTCTAACAGTGCCCAGCCCGACGTGGCTTAAGGCTGGAAACCCTGCAATAAGTAGTTATATCGAGTAGCTGTCCTTAGGGAAAGGCACAGCTAGGAAAGGCAGAAGGCAAAAGGAAGGAAATGCAGAAGCTTGTGGCTGAGGCCATTCTGCTCCTGACTCTGGCATGTTTCCAGCCCGCTCCTTGACAAGCCATTGAGCTGGCTATGGAAATTGGTGGTTTCTAGATGCAAGCACATATTTTGCTTTCTGTCCTGTTTGGGGTATTCAGTGCTTTATCTATCTATTTATTTATTTGTTTATTTGTTGTTTTTACAGCATCTGAAATGAAAGGATTCTGCAGCAACTTTGTGTGTGTGTATGTGTGAAATCTTTTAATTGTTGCTACATTTGGAGGGAAAACTAAACACTGGAGACTTCACAACACTTGCCTGACTGTTTTGTCTTTTTGTAGATGGAGAATAGAGGGGCTAATTCCTTCACATTCCTAAAAGGAGGGATCAGAAGGGTTTTTGTCCTGTCTAAAATTAATCCTGTGGGAAAGCCTACAGGAATATGGCAGTGCACGGTACCTGCTGCAGGGCTGGGATGGGCTGCAGCAACCGATGGTGCACAATGAGGCAGAGGGCAGAGAGAGCACTGGGCAGATGAGTCAGTCCCACATGGCATTCATCAGTCACTGTGCACAGAAAAACAGGAATGCTATGGATGCCAGAAAAATGTGTTATGATTTAAAATCAGATGCACCAACTCTAACACATGTAACATCTGAAATGTTTTGTCTCCGTTTCCTCTGATGTTTTGTTACCAGCATGATCTTCCACTTACCAGTTTAGGCAAACTTCTTTATTTCAGGAAACTATAATGACCTGCCTTCCTGCCCTACGAGCGATTATCACAGCTGGAATCTGAGATACTTTAGCACCAGCATGGTTTATTTTAGGTAAGCCAGGAATTGTTAGCTGACACTGCCTGTTTGCTGCTGTTCTCTGTAGGTGGGTGACCAGAGAGGTGGCAGGAGATGGGGTAGCGATGCACAGCTCCAGATCATAATGCAGAACCATGAGACATCACACAGGTGCTCCTCTGTCTGATGGCAAGTGGTTGGAACCGTTCCTTGAGAATAGAGCTGGCAATTTTTCATTTTGCTGTAAAAAAGGTGAGTGGAAAACATACCTCTTTCCTGACAAGCATGAAAGAGGGATAGAAGCAGAGCACTGTTTTCTGTGCTCGAGAAAAGGGATAGTTTGCCTCTGGCTTGTGCTCTGGATAAGTCTGGATAGATTTCCACAGGGACACTAAACAGCACCTCCTTCCCCCTCTTCTGCTTCAGCTGAGGGAGTTTTAACTGTGATGTGGTTTCCCATAAGCTCTTCCAAAAGCATGTTCATATGGCATTTTACAGAACAGTATGACTAATTAGTGCAAGCACTTGGTCTTTTACAAACAACTGGCTGTTTTCAGACCATGTGTTGTGGCTATGTTTTACTCCAGTCCAAAACAATTGGAGTTCAAGAAAATATGAAGGGCCTGATTGGAAAATGTGGCTCAGCTTAACTCTGCAACATTTGGAATGGGAGTGGATGAGGCCACACAGCATGGAGCAGGAAAAAATATGGGGAAAATTAAACAAGCAGGCAGCATCAAGCCCTTGTAGCAAGGCCACGTGATTCCTAACTCTCATGTCTACGCCCTGTCAGTGGGGTGAGGACACCAGCACAATGACAGCAGGAATGCTTTGATATATTAATCCCAAAGTGATGCAGAGCCAGTTCCTCAGCTGCTTCAGCTGATGTAATGCATTGTTTTCGCCAAAGCCATCTCGATTTTGTCTGACTGAAGGACTAACTAGTTCAGACTATTTTTTTGACAGATACAGAGGCTGTATTCCCAAATTAAATATGCATATTGGCCTCTTGCCTGCCTTCTGCCCAAGCCCTGTGAAGAAAAGGCAGGGATGCAGGGACTGCACTACCCAAGCATCCCCCAGTCTGGAATAGCTTTTATCCCTGTAGCACTTGAGGTAGGGAATGAGGAGAGTTTTTAGATTAGGTGGAAGAGACTAGAATGTATTTTCTTCTGAAGATAGCCCGAAGCTTTCCTAAAATATAGGGTTTTTTACACATCAAGAGGGGAAGCCACAGGAGACAAAACAGCCAGATTTTGCAGCTCAGCAGTGCTGTGGCAGGCCGGGAATAGCGGATAGGAGCACAGATAGCAAACAGCAGACCATGACCATCCATCTTTGGGAGCCAGGCACCGCAATTGGTTGCTGTTCAACAGCCTGGGATGGGTTTGGCTCCCCACAACCACAGCTGCTGTGGAGTTGGCTTCACTTTGCTTTGCACTGAAACACTCTGAGCCATGGCGTGTCTGTTGCTAATTAGATTAGGTCTGCAGAGGCTGTGTTGAGTGAGTTCCCATTTTCGCCAAGGATGGGCAGTTTTCAGCGAGTTCAGTGATAGTTTGCACATTGCAGGTAAGTTCCCAGCCTGGCACAGTAACGCAGAGCTTGCACATGTCGGTCTGGGTGGAGGCTGGCTTATGTTCTCCAAACAGAAGCATCAGTGGGACCAGAACAACCTCTCTGGGTTGTTGAGCATCAGCTGTGATGGATATTCATGTGGTAGATTTACTGGCAGGGTGAAAAGCCTGCAGTGTTTGGACTAGTGCTTGTTAAGGCAGACAGACTCTCAGTATAGTGCTTACCACAGACTTAACATACTTCACCCTGGCTACCCGAAAACAGCTTTTGGATGCATGTCCAGAAATTTGGCAAGAAACCCCTGATTTCCAGACTACAGTTATATATGGCCTGTTTAGCTGTATGCTTTTGTGCTAACTTGGCTCCAAGTTTTATAGAGCGTCATCCTCATCCCACTTATCTCTAACGGAGTTCATAGAAAAGAAGCGTAGTTGTTCTGCCTTTGGCTAGACAAGCCAACCCCTTCTCATCTCAGTAAACTCCTCCTGCTGCTTATCTTAGGAGCTTTTCTCATCACAGCTATTCAAGTTTGGTTTCTTTTTAGCATGGAAAGGCAGACTTGCAGGCACCATTTTAGTTAAGGTCTTGCTGATGGTCGTGCAATGACCTTTCCTGAAGTGCTCTAATGTTAAATGCAATTTTTTTGGTGTTTATGTTGTGATGGTGGCACACAACCAATCTGTGACTAGTTTATGACCCCAGAACTTCCTCTTTTTCCCTTATTAACAGCTGATGAGATAATGAATTTAGGTCTTCACATGGTATTGGCTGTCTGCTTGATTTCACTCCACTTGTTTCTCAGTCCTTAACCTCTTGTAGGACTTCATCCTCCTTTTTTGGTGACACTTCATAACACCGTGTCTTCAGCTTATTTCATTAGTGCTGTCCTATTTGTGTCAGGGTGCTGATGAAAATACTAAATGAAATCAACCCCAAGGTTAACCTTCGAAAAACTCCCTCCAAAGGAAGATTCTTCCTCAGCCTTAAAAGCAATCCAATACCGAGACCTTGAGATCCTCAAAGTGGCATTTTCAGTGACCTGCAAAAAGTTTACAGGTGAAAAACTCTCTCATGGCATGCTAAGGTGACATTGAGGGGTTTTGGCAAGGTGAAGGCAACAAATAAGCTCTCTTCAGAAATATACCCACGTCTTTAGCATAGCAAGTAAGTTGCTGTTGGTAAAAGTGATCAAGATAATTGTCTCCTGCCGTTCTGGGATATTTTTTTTTCCAGTCCTCCAAAAGGCTTGGAAGCTCACAACTTTATGGACTGTATTCTCTTTGGTCAACCCAAGCTCATGGATCTCTTTTCTGGACCACCTGGGAAGCCACTTATCAGTTATGGCTTTGCTGTGTGACTACAAGCCCCAGGCTAGACATGACAAAGCTAATTAAGGTTCCCAGAGGGTCAGAGCTCTGCTGATGCAAATAGAGACTCTGCTGACTTGAAAAGATGAACCAACAGTAATGAATTTCATCTGGATGAAATCTGCATGGACGCTACCGCTCTCCTGAGCCCTGTCT